AACCACTGGTATAAGCACTTCAGAGATACACAAAATCAAAAGGCTGAAAGGAGATTGCTGACTTAATAGAGTTACCATTAGCAGTTTTCCCTGTATCATTCTTGCATAAATCAGGGTAAAACTAAGAATGGGAAGTACTATTGATTTTAGATTACATTCCCATTCTACAGTGATACCTTGAATTCAATGGACCTACTTATATGCTTAAAGTAAAGCAGTTGCTTAAGTGCCCTGCTTGATGGGGGCCAAAGTGAGCAAAGAACTACCCTTTTGTCTTTGTGAAGTCAGGGTTAAAGCATGCGAGTTGTAAATTAAGGAGAAATGAGTACTGAAGCCTATGTATGCCTAAACTGCTCATAAATAGTGAACTTGAATTGTTAGAGGTCTCCAAATTTATCAATGGTGCTTATACAAAACAGCATGAAGTCTATAGGAAAAAAAAATGTAATGATTAACCCAAAGTTAAACTCCTCCTCATTGACTGAGGTGATAATTGAACTCAAATATCTTGTCCCCAAGACCCTACTTCATCCAAAATGTGATTTGTCTAATTAATTATTAAATCTAATCTGGAGTTTGCAAATGACTATTGTCAGAGCTGATTTGAATCAGTGCCTCGACACAGTGGAACTTTCTAGCACAAGGCACGGTAAGTCAGGGGAAGTCTCGGCATGGTGAAGAGTTCCGGCGTGGATAGAGTTCCCGCCAAGGAAATGCAGATTCGCATAATGTGATTAGCTGATGTTAAATTATTCCCACGTGGTGGCTGGCAATTGCCTCGCTAGCCGTATAAAAGGTTAGGGGCATTTCCGCCCTAGTTAGAGAACTCCGTGGTTCCCCCTGGAGTTGAACTCCGGCAGCTTGATCACCTGCCAACGACTCCCCGTCGGCGAAGCCTTGCGACGTATCCTCCGTGTTGCATGCCTGAGTTAGACCCGAGCTACCCGGTCTACAAGAGCTTCTCGATTAATGATTAAATAATAGAATTATTGCAACTACGATTGCCTGCGCTGTATACGACTCTACAGTGTAAGTAAAGCTACCTCTGTTTTTCCAATTGATACGTGTCTTGTTTGTGCCTAATTCCGCTCCGGTGATAGAGAATACCCATCTACCCATCACGGGATCACAGCCGCAACCCCAGCTAGCATTCCCAAGGACTCCCGATCCTCAGTTCCCCCTCGGCCCCCTCAACTATCACTAAGTATATGAATGGAGCTAAGAAAGTTGATTTATTCTCATATGAAATCCATTAGGCAATTGATTTTTGCTGGTTCCTTGGGTTTTAAAGCACACAATACACACCGTTTTCTCTGAGAATTGCTCGACATCCTTGATTTATTACTTATCAATTTTGGTAATCTTAAATTCATCTTTAAAAACTACTATGCTTACTTTAGCTATCTGAAGTCAGTGCATAGGACCTACAACCATTATACATTTATTTTTTTCTCACCTTTCTGGGAGGAAAAAAAGTCTGCGTGCCAAGTTGTATAGATGTCTGTATCAAGTGAATATATTATGGTTCAGTATGTAAGAGAGCTCTCTAAAGAGGACAAACTACAATTCAGAATGGGTTCTGAGAGCCTGCATGATACAGCTAACTCTTTTCCTTTCATGTCTTTTATATATGTACTAGCTCAGTTTACACTGAACAGTTTAATAACCTTAACAGTAAATGCTTAATAATTAAAGATAGGATGTAGAGTTAAGAATGAACTTATTAAAAGTAAAAGCCACACACAGATTTAACCATGTTAAAAAATAGAAAAATTGTAATGAGGCCTATGCTTAGAAGAGAGTATTGGGCAAGTTAATGTAAGTAATGAACCTTTCATGTGAAATGATGTAGTGTCACAACTCATTTGCATCCCACTTAAAGTGTAATTAAGTTTCCCTGACAGCATGGCTTATGGCTGAAAGAACAGACCTGGCTGCTAAATTAATCCAGAATCCCTCTAGTTAATAACACTCAGCAAAGAAAACTTTATACACTTTCATTTAAAGTTCTTAAACTCACATTTAAAGTGACATTATTAGGAATGCTAAAGAAGGCCAAAGGCCAAATTAAATGCTGAAGCCAACTTGAATTGCAGTTGAGTCTACTGAATCCAGGACTGAATTTGACTAGATTCAAAGAACTGAACATAATTGGGTAACGTGCTGCGTTTGTTTTCTTCTTAATGTTGGATTACTGGTATATGAACTCCAATATCCTTGTCATTAAGCTTGAAGGGTTCTAAACTGTGAGAAGTTCTAAGATCAACAAATGATTTGGAAGACTTGTTTCCAGAAAATGTGCTGACAAGTACCTATTTCATTAACCATAGGATATCAATGCCTGACAACTTGATATGGCAACAAGAAAACATATGAGTCCAATAGTAACCCATTGTCAATCTCCCTGAAAGATAGCACTTTAAAGAAAACTTCTTTTTCCAACTCCAGTGTTGGCAAGAGTTCTAAATTCAAACCAGAATATTGAAATAGACCACATGAGGTTTTTTGGTTGTGTGTTTTAAGTAATAGTGATTGACTTAGATGTTGCTAGAGCTAACAGCTTACTACTCTGCATACCACTTTAAAGGATTTCCTTTAGTGAGTGTCTGTGAGTCTTCCACTCGAATCTGAGGCAAAATGTTTCAGCTTGCAGAACCTACAAATCTTTTGAGACCCATGTAAAATCAGAGGGAGAACTGACCTGCCACAAAAGTTTCCTAACACTACCACCATTAAAAGTTCCATGGAGGCAAGTTATGGAGCTGTACAGGAAAAAGAGAGTTCACTACTTTTTCATTATGGTGGGCTTGTTTTATGTATTATATTAATGCTCAGAAGTCCCAGCCAATGGATCCCCACTGTGGCAAAAATGTTTCATTATACTCTTTTTCATAAAAATGACTAAAAATAGAGTAAACACTCCTATTTATCTCTCCTTATTTATCTCTCCTATGTAGAAGTAGAGTAACTCTCCTTTATTTTGGGGTGGAAATCTATTAATAATAAACTGGAGTGAAATGAGAATCAGGAGAGAATCATTTTTGTGGAGGTTACTATAAATACTGTATATTGTAGAATTTTAATTGTCAGTCTTAGTTTGATCCCCCCACCTTCATCTACTGACAATATGGTGATTTTTTTCCATTGATCCTTTAAAAATTCTTCCTAGAAAACTGGAAAAAGAATCTGGTTTCAGCAATTCCCTTGACATTGTTCCCTGAAGTGTAATACATGGTGATCTGCCAAGTCAGACTCCAGTCTGGGAAAGAAACACTTACCAGAGGGCTATAATTAGACTGTAGCCATTATCTATCCTGAATACATACTGGGCTTGGCAGCAACACCCTGAAGTACACCAGGCTGCTCTGCGTAGGCTGTCTCCAAAACCGAAAACAGCATTCTTGCATTTGCACAGAAGTTTGGATGAGCTGACGAGCACTGCTGAGTGAGAGTGACAATAAGCCCACCTATGCTTATTAGCCCACTCACAAAAGATGGAATCTGGGCAACAATAATGGTGTTCTGCAAAAAATTTCAAGTTTTTACAAATTGCTTTTAACCCCACTATGGCATGAAAGCAACTTCATCCTTTCAGACCTACTGATAGGGAGGGTGGAGTAGGCAGGAGACCATGACAGAGAGAAGCTAAGACTCCACCCCAGAATAGCCAACAGTCCCAAAGCCCACACACTGGCTGCGCTAATATGTTGGACCCCTACCCCTGCACCCCAACCTCCAACAGGTTCAAATTCATGCTCTGCTTAATTTGGAGTAGGTTCAAATCTCTTCTATTGGAACTGTTCTTTGTATATTTATTGAATGAGAAAGACTGATACTACAACCTGGGGTACAGACAGAGACGTTCAGGCCTGTGCTCTAACTCACAGCACTTTATATAAAGCACCATCAGTTAAAAGTGCCCCACCAACCCAACATTCACTTGTTGAGTCAGGGGGGATTGAGCCTGCCTGCAACAAATCTGCCTGAACTGCCCCTCTCCACAGCACTGCCCCCCACCCCACCTCTCACCTCTGGGGCTGTCAGTAGGAAGGAAGTGGAGAAGAGGGACAGAGAAGCAGCAGCAGCAGCAGCATGCTACTGGCTCAGCTTTGCCTGGTCTGAGCCGGAGGGGGCAGGGAAATCAGAGCTTCCCTACCTCACAGATCCTGCCCAGCTCCCCCCAGTACCACAGCTGGGGGGCTTGGGGCGGGGGGCACAAGGTAGGTG